CTACATATATATATATATATATATATATATATATATATATATGTATATATGTTGTCAGACAAATGCATCTTTTGATACACTTATAATATCTCATTAAATTATCGTGCGTAAACGATATTTTAAATTATTCGTTCGTACGTCAATTGGATCACCGATAAAAGATAAATATATCACGCTTTTTAATTTACTTTGTAAGATGGTCGTAAAATAATTAAGAATAACGTACAAATATTTTAAAGGTATTTAATAGTCTTTCCAATTATATGTCTTTATCTTTATGGCAATGCATAACATGGCAAAGATCACATTTTAAAATCTTCTCCGATACGAGATTCTAAATTCCGAATATCGCTTTTCATAAACATCTTGAAATTTAAAAATAAAAATTGACAAAAACGGAAATAATATCATTGTAGTTGCTTATATATTCTATTTATACGTGTTTTGTATATTGTAAATTGTATATATTTCGACATACTTCTGCATACTTTCGTTTCGTTTAAATTAAAAACACAATTCCATTGTTGAGCGAACACAAACTGAAAATTTATACGAGTAGAAGAAAACTTGTAATCGCTACATAAAATAACAATTATATAATTGTATAGCTGGTTTATAAAACCTTTCGCTTATTTATGTTACTGATGTACACAATAATCCTAAATATATTATTACTCAAATGTAATACGAATCACAAATGAGTGATAATCGATTCGCGTTACATTTTTTATAATTCAACTTGCATGTATATTTTTTAATTAATTGAGAAATGGCGGGAAAACTTAATTTCGATTATTTTAAAAATAATTGCTATGATAATATTATAATAATTATGGTAATAATAATAATAATAATAACAAAATAATAATAATAATAATAATAATAATAATAATAATAATAATAATAAAATTTATAAACACCATTTGATTTTTTAAAAACATAACGTAAGCATAGAACTTTCTCTTTGAACTACAGGATAAAGCATTTAAAAATTCATAACTTGTAATCAGATAGAAAACAACCTAAAATTAATTATGAGCCACCGAGGTGTATGATAACGTAAACGATGATCGTAAAAATAGGCGTATCGATTTAGCACAAAATCACTTGTGCCAATGTTTCTGATCCCGATTATAACACCGTTATCTAAACGCATCGCAAAATGGTCACCTGGTATCATGAGCTTGCAAATGATTGGGAGCATCTGCAAACGTGAATTTTAATTTGTACGCTTCCGCTACTAATATTCCTATTTCTGAATCTGTCCAATTTTGTGTAGGCAGGTTTTGTAGCATTAACATCAGTCCCTTTAAAAATAATAAAAAGATTTTTCTCCACATAGTTAATAATTAAAAAATAATTTTATCTCGAACTATTTAATTTGTAGAAATATTATAATTTTAACTTACTTGAAAATCTGGTTGCAATAAAAGATGACGTCTCCAACGAAGAAGAAACGCGGCACATACGTAAAGTTGAAACGAAGCAAATCGATCGGATTCCGCTAAATAAGTGTCCCATAAACGAATTGTACAATGAAGAGGGATTTCTCTCGTTAATAAATTATTCATCCACCGAAAGGAAAACTGTAAATAATCTACACCATGTTGATGTAGATGTTGATGCAAAGGCGCTAAAGAAACAAATTATATACATGATTAATAGAAAAAAAAAAAAAAAAAAAAAAAAAAAAAAAAAAANAAAAAAAATAAATTAAT